TGGGGTTTTCATGAACTGTACGCCATAATGTATGACAAATCACGGCTTGAACTATCTTGCTTTGCATGTAATGAGTCATATCTCATATATTAGTTTCACCTTTTAAGTTGCATTACTGAAATAAATGAACTTTTGCACAATATTCTAATTTTTCAAGTTTCACCTGTATGTAAGTTCTCCTTGACCTTTTCCAGTGTTGTAACCCAGATTGTTTAGCCTTTTGTAAATTTGTGATTGTCCAAGCCTGAAAACACTTGTTTGTTTGTGAATTGTGTGATATTGGCTATATAAGGAATCAGCCATGGACACTGCAGAAGCCATTTTTCTGCAAACAGCTCATGGGAATAGAATTAACTTACAGGGCCATACAGACTGTGACTATTGACACACTGACAGTAACAGTCCAAGGTGCCAGGCAAGATTTTTTTCCAAGACTAGCTGAAGAACCAAATCTGAGTGTTAATCTGAGATAACACTTTATTCATGAGATATGGTCCTTCCCCAGCAGCTTTTTCCCATATAAAATAAATACTCAAATCACTGTTTAAAATCTTTTTTCAATGATCTTGTAAATGATATTCTATCACACACCATTATTCTCAGGCATTCCAGACCATTTTTTAAAAACACGAGGTATATGGAACTTGTATTTTCCAATTTGAGCTTTTTTAAAAGAGCAAAATTATACTTTCTGAATGGCAGAGTATGAGAATTCCCATTGCCAGTCTTCATCCTACCAATCCTAAGCAAGCCAAACTTTTCTTATTCAGAGTAATAAATCCGGATCAAGGATCAAAAATGTGACTTTGGTTTAGCAAGAGCTTTATAGCAAGAAAATACCTAAAACAATGTTGCTTCCTTAGTAGCTAGCCTTCAAGTGAGCAATTTTCTTATAGTTTTTTGGCCTCTTTTTACTCCAGAAACTTTTGATTTCTTAGGCAATTGTGAAGTATATAAAAATATTTTTTGCCTTTTGTTGCATTGGTTTACTTCTAACTACTGTATATAAAACCATCTGTTATTTGCTGGAATTATATTTAATCTTATTCTTTAGCTCTGGATACAAATGGTATACCTGTTCCTAAAGTAACATGACTACTCTTTCTTAAATGCAGAGATTCTAAAAACAGAATTAAGTGAAGTCAGAGTGCCACCTCATGGTAGTTAACAAAATATACACATTAATGATGTTGGCAGTTATAAATTTTTCACGGTTAAATGTTGTTTTAACATTAAGCAGTACCAGCAAATCCATGCCAGGTAAACAACCTGCCATGTTATTAGACACGTTGGACTTAAGAGAATATCACAGAAAATGAAAGGAAGGCTTTATAGCCTTCCAAGTCCTAACATTTCACAAAAATTACTGCAAAAATATACTGCAACATCTGAATGAGCCCTACATATAGAACAGATTATCAACCAGTATTTTGCCATTCTTTATGGAGAAATCTATGACCTTCTCAGTTACATTTCTCTCATTTACTAGGACGTCAGAAACAGGCCTACATGGGAAGGATATAAAGCCATGATCTATCTTTGCCAACTACTATTTAATTTTGACAATCAACTAGACAAATCTGTGGCATATTGGGTCATCTTTGAGAGAAAGGTAGTGCAGTCTTTTTGACTAGAAAATTACATTTTAGGCTGACCATAGTTTTTACTGGATAGTTCCATGATCATCTAAGAATATGTCATAAACAAAAAAATAATTAGTGGTATATAAACTTCACTAAGAAGTCAGTATTTATTTACCTAGGCAGATATACAGAATGACCACAGGTGAGCAAAAAAAAGCAATATCAGTGAGTGACCTACAGCTTCTTTTCAAATTTTCCCTTGACTTTGCTTGTGGGAAATTGGCAGGAAGCTTAGAAAAACACACATTACCACAGGGATGCTACAACTGCCACAACTTTGCGGATAAATCTGGCCTGAACATTGTGAACATTTCAATTGCAGAGGTGTAATGGATCCCAAATATTGTATATATCCTTTAAATTAGATTTTAGATACCTTGATTCAAAAATTGTTGCAGTATAATGCAGCATTTGGGCTAACCTGAGGTTAGAAAGACAGGTAAACACAATGAGTTTTAGTAGTATATAGACTCCGAAATGGGTTCTTTAGACAAAGTGAAGTACTATCCCTCTAAGCCAGGAAGTGAGCACAATGCAATTGTAATAGAGATAAGGAAAGTTATGGCTTTGATTCTCTTTTATACAGACTACTTGATGAAGTTGTACCAATAACTGTGAAAAATCTAAGCAGGGGCCAGACAGTTTATTATTCAGGAATTGATGTTACCTACTTTGATAATGAAATGTCTGCAAAAAAAGCACCAGAGAGCAGCAAGAATCCCACCATTCAACCCTGAACTACAAATATTCTCTTCTATTGGTATTCAGGAAATCCAAGACCTATGGAATAGACTGGGAGGTCAAAAGACATCCCAGAATATAGTGTCCACTTCCAGGCTGATGCAAAAAAAATTATATATCCATGGAATCGCCGAGTGGGAGGATTTGCCTTTTCATTTTTAATAAAACTCAGACCCTAGTCTTCATTATTAAAAAAAACAACCCTTATAAATGTGGTCTGGAACATCATTAAGTGGCGCATTTTAAATAACAACAGTACAGGTGATTTTTCCAATGACAGAGAGGTATAAAAGCTGTCTATCATCATATACTTCAGAAAATACTCAAAATAATGTTAGCTATTATGTGATTTATTTATTTTTACAAATGAGCTGAAAAAAAATCTCTCAAGCTACAGTGTTAAAAAAAATTGGAGATCAAGGTGTTGCCCCAACTTTTACCAGAAGATGAGGAAGTTCAGTCAAAGGAAGCTCTTCCAAGTAGTGTCCCATGTCAGCATGCAAAACTCTATATTAAAAGGGGTTTGAGCCACAATTGTTGATTAATGCTAGTATTTTACCCACAACTTTTATATTCTCTTGAGACAAAGTGGGTCTTGGGATACCAAGAAACTAAAGTAGGCCTTACCAAGAGTTTCAATTATGGGAATGTGCATGAACAGAATCCACGCTAAAGTTAGTCTTAAGTCAAATGTATATCTTGATCAGCTTATTGTATATGACAGACTTTACGCTACTGCACAAGATGTTACCCTCAAGCAGGCATAGAAGGGAAGTTCAGAATATTATGCTATACTAACTGAATCTATCTACTGATCTATCTATCAAACAAACTGCACTATATTATTTTATTTAACATTTTCTTCAGTAATCATGTGAATGTTGTCGTAACGTTTGTCTGACCAAGACCCCAAAATTAATTTCCTATGATAGTTGGCTTTGCTTGCAAATGTAATACCTAACCATAGATTGGCACCTTAAATGAAGACCAGTTGGGCTCAATTTCAATTTTTAGTCTTTTACTATTTCTCTCATGACTGTACAAACTGTTGTATTTGTTGTTTTTATAATTTACTTGTAGAATTAGTTGAGAATTTAGCTGAAATTAAGTATTTGGAGATGGGTCTATGTAGAAATTTTAATTACATTTTAAAGGATACTCAAAGAATAATATACTACACTTCTTTCCTTGCAATATTACTGGGTTGTAAATCCACAAAAGAAAATTACTCATTGCATTAGCAGTAATCTCCATGCAGGAGTTGCCTACTACCCACTTTTCATATGTGACTGACAGAAATGGCTAAGTCTTTGTGAGCTCATTTAGATGATTCCAGAATACAGACATTGCCATTCTTATAGAAGCCCATTATACACATAATTTGCTTGAGATACAAGCACGGAGGGAAGAGGTTAACAGATCCTATGAAAATCTACTTTTAAGAGAGAAAATGATTTAGAAGAAATAGGTAAGCTTTTGTCTACTGAAACACACACATTGCTTCCCCCTTTATTCCTATCTCAATGACTTGTGTCATTTTGTACCTGAAAGTTTGCTCCTATAGTCCCCAACTAGCAATCATTTGGGGGGGAAAATCCTAATTTTGCCTCATAATACGTGAATGCAAGTATAAGAAACAAAATGCATGTTACAAATAAAACCAACATTATTTTCTGTATATATCTTTCTTAAATTTTGCATTGGGCTACCTGTAACAAAGCAATAAAAATGGTGTATATTAAAAGGTGGCTTAAAAAAGAAAAGTAATAAAACAAGAGATTGTTTTAGAAAAAGCAATTTAGAAGTTAATTATATACACATCTATTCAGAATTAAATCCCACCAAATTCAGCAGACCTTACGGTCAGGAAAGAATGCATAGTATTACTGGCTAAAAAACTGAATTTTTTGCTTTCATCATTAGAAATATGTGACCTTAAGCGTTCCTAAACTTTGTACAAAATAAGTCTTAAGGGGCAAAACAGCAACACCAGTCACATTATTCATGGTTCTTGCAACAAGGGATATTTTGATTAGATTCCTTCACTTGCCCAGCCTGCCCCAAGCTTTCAAAGCATTCTTTATTAAGCAATTGTATGTTTTGTTTTCAAAGCAGAGGTTAGTGATATCCCTGCCACTGAGATCATTGTTTCTATGGCAACAAAATATACCTACATCAGAAAGCAGAGGCTTTCATTTCAGTGCTGTAAAAAAAAAAAGCAGAATACCCCAAAAGAAAAGCATGGATGTTGGAAAAAGTTTTATTCCCACTTCAGATCCACATAATATTCCAGAACAACAAAAAAGAATCTCAATAAATATCAAATGCTTTGCTATAGGTTTGGACAATATCCATTTTCATTCCATTATGAAGCTGGTTATTTCATCAACCATTCACTCCATTGAGTCTTCCGTTCTGAATGACATGTCACTATGGAAACAGTGGCTTTAATTTAGAAAGCATATAAAAGAGGAAGTGTGAAAAGAGAAACATAGTTTGTACATTGTATTGAAACATACTATGGTTGGTTTGGATTTAGTATGATGTAACGCCCAGTTTTCCAATATAATACAATTAAGTAAGGTGTGAATCCAGCCTGGGAATATATGCGTGCAAGAGGCACTCCCTTGACTTTACCGTAAAATATGAAATAAAATGGAAACAGCAACCTTTGAGCTACAAAACCTAATTCCATACACTTAGAATTAGGTTATGATTTAAGTAGAAAATCACAAGGGAAAATAATTGTAATAATTTAAAAATACTTTTGTGGTTACTTGAAAATGATTTGACTCCCAATTAAATACAAGCACAGGGATTAACAACTACCATTAATTATAAAAGTGACATAACCAAAACTAGTCAATGTTGTAATTTCTTGGATATTATGTATGCTAGTATTGGTTTTTATTACATTTAAATTCCAGTGTTAGAGTTCAATTTAATACATTACCTTTAATGAAAGCATAATTGCTGTCCATATATGTGTATTAATCCAGTGCTTTTCCCCCAAAAAGGATTTATTCCCATCCTCAAAAAATACTATTTATCTATGTGAACATCTTTTTTCTCTAAAATGTAGAACCAAGTTCACTCTTTTTTTTTTCTCATCATATTAAACGAACATATTTATGGTTTCTGCCTTGAATCTCATTTTATTTATTTTTCACATTTCTGAACCATCCATGTCTCTCACAGATACTATATGTACAATAAAATCATGCTATAATAATAAACAACATAATGATAGCAACCATATAACTGTGATATCAATAAAAGGACAATATTTACTTTAAAATATTTTAAAAGTTAATTGGATTGGATTTTATGATACCACACAACACTCTCTGTTTTTAGTAAATGAACAAAGAAAGCATATTAAACTGAAAAATGGAACAGCATGCCAAAATTCACTCAGAACAGAAACCTGTGGATTTCACAGTGGGAAACTGGTTCAGTAAATTAAGAACTCACCATGAGTTTCATTCTGGTTTCCACTCACCAAAGCCAACATTCCCATCAATGTAGCTTATATATTGTGCTTGTCACGTCTTATTTTTAAAATCCTGGCTATCTTACACGTGTTCAAAAGCAGTATTCTAGTACAGATCTTCCATAACAATACTTAGCTGAAGATTTTCTTTTAGTTTGTGACAATATGATTTTTAAATATACATTACATTTCAACATTTCTTCTGCATAGAATTTTGGATAGAATCTTGGAAGCATTTCTGTATAGGGCAGGTTTACAAAAGAATCTAATACGGTTGCATTTTCTGTAAATGATTCTAAGAGGTCATGTGAAAGACAAGCACCTTCCATGCCAGATTACTGGGAACAGAAAACAGTCAGATCTTTAAATCAGATGTACAAAAAGCATTGAATAGTCTATATACTCTGTATGAAAGCATTTCATAGATTACATTTTTAAACACTGAACAGTTTCATGATTTTGGTTCTGCAGAATATAAAAGAAAGTAACATGTCATATAAATTCTGCTATGTGTAACAAGAGACCTGAAATTATCAAATGCTTTAGATAATGGAAAAGATATATAAGGAAGGAAGACAAGCACAAGGTTTTGACACATTTTCCAAGTATTTTATATCTTCTGCCAAAATAATATGCATTACCTGCATAAGAAATTAAAACTGATTCATGTTCTTAAACACACTGCCTTTCACAGTAATTCCCACAGGTTCATTGTCAATTTCAGGGTTAGTATAACCATCTACTACAAGTCCTATATGAAAAATGTATAGAATTGCTGCATATTACTCCTTTCTGAATACTGTAATTCTGCTGATTTGTGGTATGAATAGAAAACAAAAGGCTTTAATGGAGCCATTTATATTAAATGCATACACAATTCTGGAAATCAGAACTTTCCTTCCTAAAATCAGTTTGCTATACTTATAAATAGCTATGCTAGCTTGTTACCAACTAAGTGGCACCTGGAAAATCAAATTCAAGTTGCATTATTCATGTTATTAAAATATTGAAATATCTTTACATTTTGTGGAATTTAGTGTAGTACTGGACAATTTGACACAATCTTTTGAAAATGTAATCCAAACTCCTTGTTGATGGATAAAATCCATGACTGCAGCATCCTGAAGGAGGCCAATTTGGGTTTACAAAGCTGCAATAAGTACAGTCTGCTGCGTTCAAAGGCAGTCTCTTTTTATTCTGGAATAGACTGTATCACCATGTACACATGGATAATTAACCATTTTTTTGCATTTTACTGATGTGAAAAAAAGCTGGAATATTTTTTTTCTCTCTTCCCTATTATCCCATACCTTTCCTTCCACTTTCTTTCCCTTCCACATTTCTCTACCAACTTTATTTTCATTTGTATTTTATATTATGATAATCTCAATAAAATTTATATTATAATGGATAAACTAACCATTTTACAGAATTGTATCAACTTGATACAACTGGACTATCAGAAAACATTTTCTGCATTTACATCAGAGGCACATGTTTCTATTATGGAAATTGCATTCTTTTAAAAAATAATTGGTGACAGGAATATCCAGGAGATACTTTTAACCCATTGGGTAGCTGAACAGTTTAGTTGTTTTGTTTTGCATATTAAATTACATTAAGCCCATTCAATTGTACAACTTTAATAACAAAAAATCTACCAAATACCGAAGTCAAACTGAAATAACTGCGTTTGACTATGGCTGCACTAGAAATCAATAAAACTATACTGAAAGAACAGATTGAAGAATTGCTGATTTTAGTACAGTAATACTATTGGGTCAAATATGTTTAGACGAGATTACACATATTGTTTATTCAAACTGTATTTTGAAATTATATAGAAAACTGAGGGTATTTTGTTTACAATTGAGTTACATATTAGAGTTGTATTCTACACTTACAAAGTAACCATCGTAGGAAAGATATGGGCTTTTAAAGAGCACGTACAATATAAAAATCAAAAGTCAGGCACTTGCATTTTTTTCAGTCTAAAAGGAGAAAGTTCCATCAACACCACACAAGGCAAAGAAGGTTGATGAATTGTTATACAAAATACATTTTCTATTTAGTTTCCTTTTTTATAAAGGCACTTTATACACAGATAGGGAATCGGTTAATAATCCTGTTAGTCTCAATTTTCATCTGACTTCTTTACCATAGAAACACTTTGATACAAATGTAAGTGCATTTACTATATTAAGTCAGTATCTATTGCTTTTCTACAATTAAAAATATTTGGTACTGAAAGAAATATTGAAGTTACACTCTACTTCAGAAATTATCAGATGACATCATGATGTCTTAGCCACTTGGAACAAAAATATCAAATTATTTTCTCCACATGAATAGGAATCTGTCAGAAGTGGGTTTGAAGTCTTTTATTTTCTTCACGCAATCTTTCAATTTCAGCTACTAAACTATCATTTATAGAGTATCTTTCAAGTAGGGCATGCATTTCATTCTAGAGAAAAGAAAAGAAAATCAATATGTAATAGAATTAATATTAAATTACTGTTAAATATGAAATTTTAACAGCAACATTTAAAAAGTACCTTAGATTTTTTTTTAACAGAAAGGTAGACTTTGTAGTTGTCGTAGATAACCAAAAACAAACAAAATAGAGTAATGTTGTCACATTCTTTACTTTTTAAGTAAACCACTAATCTGGAAATGGCTATTCTTAAACTGATAATCTTGGAACATTTTTGTCCTGGCTCCTACCTTCTCCTTTGGGCTGCTGAAAAGGTGGCTTTCCTACTGTTTGGCTCCACATCCATTATGACTAACAGTAAAGGATGATGGAGTTGCATTTTAAAACATCTGGATTGCCTATCCCAGATTTAGAATAATAAAATACTAAGTGCTCAATGAAAGGGAAGTTTGTCAACATATATGTACAACTCTTTATATTTGTATACATACCAACTGAACATGAAACTGTTTGATCATTTCTACTTGCAAATTTATAATGTCACGATGACAAGCTTCCCTGAGGAGAGAAAAACACAAGTCTAGTCTTTTTTTTCCCCAATTCAGAAATTTACTACTACACAGGTAATTTCAAAATGATAAACTATCATCCCACTATATCCCCTCACTTCAATGTTAATGTATTTCTTTGATGGAACCTACTAGAAATAAAAGGCTATTAGGAAAGAGACTGTTTCTCTTCATCTTACTGCATTTCCCGTGTCAAGTACCCAATATGACAGCTAATGCATCAGGCTTCTAAATTACCCTGGTAAATGGAATATAGAGAAAGACATCTGTTATTTTAATAAACAGAAGTGTGCAAAATTCTCCTGTTGGAAAACTCTTCTGTTAGAAATTCTGCAAAATATGTATAATTCTACAAATACTTCTACCAAACACAATAGGGCAAATATAATTTGAGACATAATATGACAAATAAGAAATTGTATATTTTGTTGCAGGCATAAGATATGCATCAGTTTGTTTGTGTGTGAGAGTGTGCATACGTTTGTGCATATGAACAATAGAGTTAGCTGAATCCTAAATTTGACACTCAGGAAA